TCACTCCTGATTGGCTGGTGGGTGTCACAAAGGTATGGTCAACTTGCATCTTTCTCTTTTATTAGTGTAGATTAGTGTAGATGGCAGGGCAAGGCATCAAAGACAGACCTGTCTAATCACAAAGCAATGTCCTTGCTTCAGCACCACACTGCCTTTGGGGACAAGGGGTAGTATGTTATCTGGTGAATCTGTTCTGTATTTCTTTATCCCTCTTGTGTCTCAAGCGGCTTTCTGCCAATTCAGCCACCCTGGGCCACCTGGAGTGGTGCTTTGGGAATGCGTCTGCCCAGTGTCCAGGTGTTCACATCTCTTTCCAGCCAATGACAGAGGCAGAGGCAACTCACCAGGTGGAAATGAACTAGAGATGCTGCTCCCAGTGAGAGGGATGTCTCAGCACCTCTCTCCCGCCCAGCGGTCTGCCTCCTGAAGCTCCAGGGCCTACATTAACCAGGGCCTCTGATTAATATACACATCCTGGGAAGCCACTGGGCTCCTTGACTGTGTCTGATTAAAGTGGCCTGGGGTGACCCAAATATAGCCCAAATGTGTTAAGTAAGGCCTTTTTGGTTTCAGGCAACAGATGAAATCCACCCTGTCAGTGTACACAAAAGAGGAAAACCAAGGGTAAAATGTAGCCGAGGACCTACAGAGAACCCATGGGACATCATTCTGCTCTGGCTTTGTACTCTCTCCTTCTAAGAACTGCCTCTCTCTGCTTCTCCCCTGTGCAAAATATGGCCACACCCAACACCTATGTGTTTGTGCAGTGGTCCAGCCACATGGGGACTTGCTCTCTGACTCTCTTCCAACTCTAAATACCAAGGAAGCATCTCTCATTGGCCTTATCTGGACCAGGTCACCACTGACAAATATGAGGGAAGTGCATACAGATATTAAGAAAAACCAATAGAGGCTGTGGGAGGGAGGCACCCGGGGGAGCTTTGGGCAGGCTCTCACCCATTCTCTTCTGGGTGATGAAGATTTGGGAGCGTAGAATGATAATGATGTATAAATACATTTTAGCTATTTTATAAGCTGGCCTTTCAGGTTCATTATCATTCATATTTATGGTGGGGATATGTTCTTCCAGACATTCTGCAAATAGCTCTCCTATTATTCAGGTAAAATGCCTACCAAGTTGGACTAAGGGGAGGCACCAGTGAGCCCAGGCTTGTACTTCTCATAGGAAAGGAGCGCATTACCAATGGTTTTGAATAGGTGTGAATCTTTAGGTCCAGGCATCTTTTAAATAGAGCTAATTAACTATGCTGTGCATCCGGGGGCAGGGAATGTGAATGTCTGTGTGCCGGAAGGCAGAGAGCGGTTGTAAAAACTCCCAAAGGTCATATCATCCTTCGATGTAATTGGCTTTGGCAAGTTCTACTTTTTGCTGCCACCTTCACCGTCTCCAACAAAGAGTTACACTTTCCTCTGGATGCAAACGCGTAGGCAGGACCACAGCAGAATTCACTGCCCAGTGGGGTGGAAGGGTTGTCTTCCCCAGCAGAACCCACCCAGAGCCCCGGCACTGGCGGTGTCCTTTGCATCTGCCAGAGATTTTCCACGGCTACATTGCAGATGGGGCTTGAAATTCTGGCTGGGCCAGGAGGAAGGAAGTGGCTTTACCACTCAGCCACACATCTGCTGATGAGCTCTGGGTGGGCTGGGGAACCGTGGGGAGATGACATTTAGGTATTGGAATCAAATGTTACCTCTGGTACATTTTATAACAACGAGCTAATATGTACTTCCCAACACTTTTTTGGAGGCTATGGAGGGGGTCTCAAAAGAGTAGGAGCCCTCTGATAAGATCCTAAGCACCCGCTCATAGACATGACCAGTCCAATACACACCCACATACCTGATTCCTGTGACCCCTGACCCTTGGCTCAGGTGAAATCTTCACCTGTAAAACCAAGGGGCTGGACAGGTGATCTCTGTGGGCCTTTCCCTCAACAATGCATTTCCTTGCTGTTTGTATTCTAACAAGATCTTGTTTATGTTGGAAACTGTCAGCAGATGCTAAAGCTCTCCCTGGGGGAGTGGGTACTGTGGTACCCAGACCTCCCTGGGCGGAAGCATGAGGTGGGTCCATGGTGATGTCTGGTCTCTGAGTCAGGCGCAGAAGGGAGGTTAACACCTGTGACTAAGACTTGCTCTTCAGCTGAATTTCCTCTCCTTGAGGCTGCATCTGGGTCTAATCAGCAGGGGCTCAAGGGGGACGGGGAGCAGGTGGCTCTGGGGACTCTGGGGAGGGCAAATACAAATTCGATACCACCTGGAGGTAAAGAAGAGCGAAAAACGGGGTCCTGAAAACAGCTAAAAATGAGAGACATAACAACCAAATGTAACATGTAACCCTTGATAGGATCCTGGATTAAAAACACACATAAAAGACATATTGGGGGGAACTTGAGTGACTCTATTAGAGTCTATCAGTATTAAATTTTTAAGTATAAAATTGGAGTTATTGATATATATATCAATAACTCCAATTTTATACTTAAAAATTTAATATATATATGTATATATATGTATAGAGAGAGAGAAAGAGAGAGAGAGAGGCGAGAGAGAGAGAGAGATATGAAGCAAATGTAAAATATAAAAAGTTGGTGAATGTGGGTGAAGCTTACATGGATGTTCATTGTGCTATTTATTCTTCTCCTCTGCAAGCCTGAAGTTTTAAAAAATAAAGTGTTAGAAAATTGCTCGGAAGTCAGATATGTGCTATAGAATAGGTTCTCCATTCCTGTAATGTTTCCTTTGTGTTTATCCATCCCACACATTAAGAAGAACACACTCCGATTGTAATTTAAGCTCATTTCCTCATTTGTTCTGTTCTCTCTGGAGACAGTCAGCATCTTCCTTGTAAATCTCGGGCTCAGCTGGCTGGGATGATATGGGAACCTCAAGGCTGTTCCCGGAACTCATATTTCTATGTGTCATGGGCCACTCTCCTCACCACCCCAGGGAGAGCCATTGTTGAGTTATACTGAAGGCAGCTTCTGCTAACACTTGTTGGCACTCGAGTGAGTGCTCTTTAGCTGCACCAGCTCAGCTGATTCTCAACAACAAAACTTGCTTACAAATGGCAGAGCCAGAATGAGAAGAACCCAGGACTCGTGACTCCCAAACCTTTGTCCTTGACCAGCAGCCACTAAAGACAGCAGCCACTTATCAGAGGGCTCCTACTCTTTTGAGACCCCCTCCATAGCCTCCATTCAGCTGATCTCAGCCTGGAGGTCATTGCAATTAACTGGAGAGGATATTCTAAGCAGTACTGGATCATACACCTGTTGTATGGACAGGCTTGGGTTCATTGTCTCTCTGAGCCTTGAGTGAGTTCCATCTGCGATCCATCTCCTCTCCTATTCCCACTTGGAGAGTAAACCCCTTAAATCTGAGGGATTGGCCCCAGCCCTTCCTTTCTGCCCCAAACACTGTTTGCTTGGGTTGGCCATGGTGCCTCACAGGATGCAAGCTGGGGCCATGGGTTTAGTTGAACTAGTAAAACGACTGTGCACCATTCCTCATGCGTGGCCTGTTGTGGAGGCATTTCGGGAACTCAGGTGTGGGCTCGTGTGGACCCCGGTGGAGAGTGACTTGTGCCGCTGGCAAGAATCTTCTGGGGGAGGAGAGGACAGAGGAACCAGAGGAGGAGCAGGCTTCGGCTGTATCTGTAATGTTTTATTTCTTATATTTTTGAATCAATCTCAAAGGAATTATGCTGAGCAAAAAAAAAAAAAAGGCAATTCCAAAAGGCTATGCACTGTATTATTCCATTTCTATAATCTCCTTGATATGACAGAATTACAGCAGTAGGGCAGATTAGTGGTTGCCAGGGGTCAGGGGCTGGTGGATTGCTGGTGAAGGGCACCAGGAGAGGCGCTGGTGGTGATGGGAAGAATCTGTATTCAGCCTGAATCAGCGTCAATTCCCTGCTTGCGCCATTGTACTGTAATTTAGAAAGATGTTGCTGTGGAGGAAAACGGTAAGGGTACACAAGATCTCTCTATGTTTTCTGTTACAATGTGATTTGAATCCTCAGTTATCTCAAAATAAAAAGGCTTAATTTAAAAAAAGAGGACATAAGGCAAATATGGCAAAATATTAATATCTGTTCTATATGGGTCTTGAAAATCTGCTGTATCTGTAGTTTGATTTTCATTATTTTCTGAATGTTTGAAAGATTTAGTAATAACAAAAACCCTCTGGGTTATCTAGTCAGCCTTTGAAGTGTGCACCCTGCCCAACACCTGTTCTTGGTCCCCAGGCTGGTGTGGCCGAAGCACAATCTTGAGGGGCTTTGCAAGGGATGGGAGGTGGTGCTTGGCGGTGGTGCTGGCCCAGCTGAGAACAACCCTTCTGATCTCTTACTGTCCTCCCTGAACCTGGGAAAGCACCCAACACTCCTGGAGGGCGGGACTGCCCTGTAGCTCCCGCAGGGCCCCACTGCATCCCCTTGGCATGTCAACAAAATGGGCAAAATTCTACTTTTCCACTGATTCTTGGTGACAGTTCACTTCTCAACTAAAAGCGCTATTATAAGGAAGGTGGTCTTCTCACTAGACTCTTTCACTTTGTGTATTATAAGAAAAGAGACACACATACCAGAATTTATTTATTATGTAGCTAAATCACAACTTTACAATTCATTCAAAAGAAACTAAATGAGACATGTACAATAGTTTAAATGTAAAAATAGAAAAGAATGTCCAAAATAAAAGATCAGTTCTATTGGAATAGAATCTTAGTAATCATTAAAGAGTAAAGTGTTTTCAACCCAGTGTCACCGGATGGGCTTGGCTATATACGTAGCAGGGCTATTCACATGGGTTCTGAATGACAATCAGAAGATATTCCTTATCTGTGGAAAGATATGGGCAGAATTAATGGACTCTAGAAATTAAATGTAATAAGTGAATACATCAGCTAATCTGCTTTTTCTCTTTGAAACATCACTTGGACCTTGTGTAGACCAATGATTTTCCACCCTGGTTGCATCAGAATCATCTGTCCAACTTTCACAAAATACCGTTACTTGGGGCCCAGCCCCCGAGATCCTGGTTTCACTGGTCTGGGGTGAAGTCCAGGCAGCCATCATTATTCCTGTAAAGCTCTCCACGTGATTCCAATGTGCAGCCAAAGTGAGAAAAAGCTTTACTTAGTTCATGGATAATTCTGATCATACAGGTGTGCTGCTATGGAGAATTTTATTCTAGATTAGATCTAGGAGCATGAGTCCTGTTTTATACTGGCATCTACCAACACCGGAAATGTAATTCCTTCAGGGAAAGAAGTATTTTAGTGGCTGCTGTCTTTAGGTAGGCCAGGGGAGTGTGAGCTCTCCCAAGAGGGAGCTTAAGACTATAGGCCTGTGACCCACCCCTACTTTATCCCTTGGGCAGGAGACATTTCTCCCGCTCTCCAGAAAATCGGTGTGCTAAGTTCACCTTAATGTTTTGATTACTACTAATAAATGTAAGTCGGCAAAATCCAACTTCTTCAGAGGTCAGATTCCTCACCAATGTCACGAAATGTTCAAGTGAAAAATTTCAGACTCAAACATGTCTTCATTTTTTAATTGAAGAATATTATGTGTCATATTGCATATTAAAATCTATACTCCTTGTTCTTTGAAACAAAGCCTTTTTTATATGGTAAAGTAGGAAGATGCTTTAAATATGAAATAAAATGCCAAATTACCTGGCGCCACCATGATTTCATGTTTCTTTGATCTGATTCTAAGAAAGGTGAGGTCGTTCTGAGGATCAATGTCACGGACTGTGCTCCTGGCTTTCATGGTCAGCTGATGGAGAAGACCTGCATACTGAACTGTTGTCGAGTTGTCCAAGGTTGTTCGAATCGGAATACCTGGTACAAGATTTAATTTGGGGTTAAATTTTTTTGTTTGTTTATAAAAGTAAAATGAACATTGTAGAAATATGGAAACTACTTATAATTGTTAGGAGGAAGAAAAAGTGATGGCTGGTATTACCCACTGGTAACAATTTTAGTTTATTTTCTCCCAATCTTCTTGTTTCTACATAGATTTAAAAAAAATACTTGGGTCAGCCCTGGCTGGGTGGCTCGGTTGGTTGGAGCGTTGTCCAAAAGGTTGCAGGTTGGATCCTCTGGTCAGGGTGCATATGAGAGGCAACTGATCTATGTTTCTCACATCAATGTCTCTCTCTCTCTCTCTCTCTCTCTCTCTCTCTCTTTCTCTCTCTCTTCCCCCCTCCCTCTTTCTTTCCCCCTCTCTCTAAATATAACCTTGAGTGAAGATAAAAAAAAATACTTGGGTCAAATTATAATTACAAATTTGATAATTGTTTTTGTCTTCATTTAAATGACAGCATACAGGTTGTCCTTGTTGGTGACCATGTCATCAATATTCTTTTGAATGGCTGTACCCTTTACTATTATATGAATATATCATAATCAATCCCTACTGTTGGATTATTAGGTATCGTGGCTTTGTTTTTGTAGCTAATGGTGTGATGAATGTTTTTGTGCCCAGATCTTTTGGAAGCTGTTAACTGTTTCAGTACTAGGTGAGCATATTACTAGACAAAACGAATTCCCCCAAGTGTCCTGTCTACAGAATCTGCTTTGAAATGCTCGGTCTGTGATATGATGCTAATTTTCTTCCAAGGCCAGAGTTAGAAAGGGATATCACTGCACATGCTAGACAGCACATCAAAAGGGATTTTCAAAATTTCTTTGTAACATTCAGTATTTAGAAAAACAAATTTTATATTGGAGAACACAGCAACAAAGACACTGTAGTTTTGCTGGGCATTTCATGGTTTGCACTCATTCTTGGGTTAAGCGTTATTAAATTTGGCTACTTGTGTGCTCTACTGCTCCATGATACGTGTTTAAAACAGAACCTATTAATTTAACTGGAAACGTCTAGACAGACAAATATGCAAGTATAATTCAATTCAGTTCAGATCAATCTAGCTCAATTCGGGTCACTCAGCGCTCAGTGCTTATTAAGTAACAGGTGCTGTGCTGGGTATCTGCATATACTGTATCTAATCAGAAACGACCTTCTTATAATTTTGAGGACTACCACATAGCCAGGGAATCCCAGGGATTTGAATTGTAAATGTGTCTTTAATTTAGGGGGACAGACAAAGGTGAATTAGAGATTATTGTCAGATTCCTTAGGTACCTGAATTGAGGGCAATCAATAAAAGAGGCTAGCGCGACTCTTGGTTTTCCCTCTGAGAATGTAACTTCAGAAACTCTCAAGATGAGCACTTCAAGAGTGGACCAGAATTACAAACTTGGGATTTTACTAGTTTTTCATGAAAACCTTTGAGAGCCTCAATTCTGAATTTGAAATAGATTAATTGCTTTCTCTTTTAAGAAGATGATTATCTCTAGAATAGCTCTTGCTAAACAATACCAGGACAACATTTACAGGAAAACCTACTCAACGTATCAGGTTTTATATACACTTGTTAATTTTTATATTATTATTTGTTGGCCACTTTCCCCCAGAAGTCAGTGTTGTCTTTCACACCTGATGAAACATCCCAAGGCACAAGCAGGAGAGTGGAATGTAGCAACACTCAACCTTGTAAGAGCACCTTTGAGAAACAGTGTTATTTTGCATCCTAAATAGTGACTACCTAAAGTCTGCACTGCTCAGTGTCAACACAAGAAATACAACCAGAATAAATTATTTAAAATGCAGATGACAAGATATGAATCAGATGCTCAGGTCTACTTAGTTAGTCTATTCATGATCCAAGGCGATAAATAAAACAGCTAGCCTTTCTGAATAGTAAGTGCACACTGTGGAAAGTCTTGGAGTTTTTCATATCCCCTATAGACACTTGAGAAAAATCAATCAACAAATATTTATGAAGCTCCTGCTTGGTACCATGCAAGGTAATTAAAAAATAATTTATTAGGAAGTAATTTTAGCACATGTTATGAAATTCTCCCACTTCGCCTTCTGAGAGGTAGCCACTGCTCCCCGTTTCTTTGGGATCCTTCCAGCCTATTCAGGTAGTTTTGTGTTTGTATTCTTTAACTAGAGGTCTGGTGCATAAAAATTTGTGCACTCGGGGGCAGAGGGGGGCCCTCAGCCTGGCCTGCACTGTCTTGCAGTCTAGGACCCCTCAGGGGATGTCCACCTGCTGGCTTAGGCCCGCTCCCCAGGGGACAGGGCCTAAGCTGGCAGTCAGTCAGATATCCCTCTGGCAGCCCGGGAGCCTTGGGGGATGTCCGACTAACGGCATAGGCTCGCTCCCCACGCCACTCCCTGTGCTGATCCCCTCAGGGAGCGGGCCTAAGCCATTAGTTGGACATCCTTAGGGCTGCTGCAGAGGCGGGAAAGGCTCCTGCCACCACCACTGCACTGGCCAGCCATGAGCCTGCTTCTGGCCGAGCGGTGCTCCCCCTGTGGAAGCACACTGACCACCAGGAAGCAACTCCTGCGTTGAGTGTCTGCCCCCTGGTGGTCAGTGTGCATCATAGTGACCGGTCATTCTGCCATTTGGTTAATTTGCATATTAGCCTTTTATTATATAGGATTGTATCATTCTATATTCTGCACTTAAAATTTTTTCATCTAATGCACTTTGGAAACGGTTCCATTCAGTATGCATAAGGCTCACTTATTCATGTTAATGACTATGTAATATGACTGTCAAATGGATGCTTTGTAATATATATACCTGGTATCTAATACATCCTCCTGACAGGCATCTAGGCTGTTCCCAATCTTTGGCTTCTATAAACAAGGCTACGGAGTATGTCTTTGTGCATGCCATTTCACATTTGCATATATGTGTAGTATAAATTCCTAAATGACACTACTTTAAAATGATTCTGTCTGATCCCAGTAAGCTGGTACTCTTCCGCTGTACATTTATAAAAGGAGTTGGCTGAAAGGCTGATAAAATCTAATGAAATTCCAAGGATAGATTGTTAGAAATGTCAAGAACATTTCAAATTAAGACCCTATAGAAATCAGGCTTATATCCATAAGAATATATGACAGATGTGACAGATATACATACATACAGGGTGTCCCAAAAGAATGTATACACACTTTAACAGCAGATAGCTCAATTTTGAAAATGAAGTGTATTTTAATAAACACTGTCTTTATAATTGTTGAAAGTGTGTGTATACATTTTTGGGGACAGCCTATATACACACAGGCATATTCATTAGTATCTAATTCAATGACCAGTGCTGTAAGCTTATAAATAATGAATGGTTTTATAAATGGGAAATCAATGTTACCAAAGAATCTTCTCTAACAAAAACCTATACTATTCAGCATTGGACTAAAATGGTAAGTCTACTTTATTTTCATGAATAAGAAGTATATGTTTCCATAACAGTGAAACCAAAAAACTATTTAATTTGGCATATGAAAAGATCTCAGTGCATAAACATGGTAGAGGGCCTACATAACCACCTGAAAGTTAAAATGATTTGCCTAGAGTTAGTGGACTAACATCATTAGCAGAAAATAAGACCACAAAACACCATCTTAGTTAAATATTTTCAGAATCAAATTTCATGGGACTTCTGTAAGCTACAAAACTGCACTATAATAAATGACACTTTCATCTAAAATTGAGTAGGCTGTTGAAATGGAGTATTTTATTACATTCTGGTCATACAACTTATACCACATGCTATTAATAAAGATCCTTGCTATGTACTCTGTTATTAATAATATGACCATAAAAATAAGCCCCTATTTATATTTTTGGGTAAAAGTTTAATTTGGATTTCAGAAAAGTGCCCTGAATCCTAACACAACCTTATCATAATAGAGGTTAATTAGAAGAAGTTAATGGGTATTAAAAATAATATTTTGTTGTCTGGATGAAAAAAGTGTTGAGAAACCCCAGAAAAATAACGTAAAAATCACTTTTAATTCCATCACTCAGAGATAATCACCATATCTCTGCCTTTTCTTCCATATTTATTTTAAGTGTGTATATGTGCCTGACTATATTTTTTATTAGAAAATGCTGGGTACTGCTATGTTCTCTGATATTTTCATCCACTATTGTGAGTAGTTTCCCATGACTGAAAATTCTTCAACATTTTAAGAAATACTTCATCAAGTAAATATTACATAATTAATTTAAAAATTTCCCTACTGTTGGGAGAGATCATTGATTTTCAACCTTTTTCATCTCATGGCACATATAAACTAATTACAAAAATTCTGCGGCACACCAAAAAATACATTTTTTGCCAATATGACAAAAAATAGGTCTAATTTTGATTCATTCACACCAGATGGCTATTATTGTGTTGGCTGTTGTCATTTCTTTATGACAACCTAAGGGAAAAGAGCAGGTATTGCACGTTTTAAAAATTCTGAGGCACATAAGTTGAAAATTGCTGGAATAGATTTATTTATTGGTATTCTATATTAGGCCTCACTGATTATCCTTTGGACTTAATCTTTCCCTCATCACTTCTTAGGACAAATTCCTAGGAGTGGAATTACAGATCAAAGGGTAGAACATTGTTCAGACATTTGATGCATATTGCCAGGATTGCGTACTTTAGACTAAGATCTTCCAAAGTAACACATAGGTGAGTTGACCTGGATGTCACAGGTGAATGCACCTGTATTGAGCTGAATAGTGTCTCCCCTCACCCCTGCCCCCCTCAATTCAGGTATACCCTAAACCTCAGAATGTGACCTTATTTGGAAATAGGGTATTTTTAGATGTGTTTAGTTAAGATAAGGTCACACTGGATTAAGGTGGAGCCTAATCCAATACTAGTGTCCTTCTAAGAAGAGAAAAAGAGACATGGAGAGGATGAGGGAGGCAAAGAATGGAGGGATGAGTCTACAAGCCAAGGAATGCCAAGGATTGCTGGGAACCACCAGAAGCTGGGAGACAGGCAAGGAAGGATGCTCTTGTAGAGCCTTCAAAGACAGCTTGGCCCTGCTGACACCTTCATTTCAACTTCTAGCCTTCAAAACTAAGAGAGAATAACTGTCTGGTTTTTTAAGCCACTAGGTGTGTGGTACTTTGTTATGGCAGCCAAAGGAAAGGAATATAGTACCTCTGTGGAGTGACGAAGATTAACCCATCTGAGGGGGTGTGGCAGAGTTTGTGTAAATGCATGGACCTAAAATCAGTTCAACCAGAACCATGCACTAGGGTTGGATTGCTTCCTGGAAATATTAGGCATAAATCTGGACTTACCTGTAGGGCTGATCTTGAATCCACTCCCTCCTGATCACTCTAGTTGAGTGTATTTATTATATTTATTTGATGTTATGTTTAACTTTATTTTGTGAAACACATCATATGTTTTATTGGTACAAATGAATTAAAAATCCCTGCATAATCAGAACTATTTATTTATAATTCTATTAAGTGTTGGGTATTGTGGCAGGCACTTGACAGTTATTACCTCACTTATCACAACCATCAGTAAAGTGGGTGATTTTCCATTTTTAATAATAAGGGATTGAAGGTCAGAGTTTAAACAGACTTTCAGTTGTTTGAGTTTTAAAGCCATCAATAAATATTGATGGATTTGCTCCAAAACAATGATTAGTGTTGAGATTCTGTTGCCAAGCACTGAGTTAGCAATGTGCCAATCCCATGGTTGCACCATGAATTATATAAAGTAACTACTCTTATTTCAACTAATACTCTGGGATTTGTAGCACCTCTTGCCCTTACAAATGCCTGAATTAGCAATGAAGTGAGCAAAAGCCTTTAAGAGGTAACACCATAGCTGAGCCAGAGGCAGGCAATGTGCTAGAGAAATGCTCTGTGGATTAACAGGGACTGTGGGGTGAGAGCCAGTTTCTGGGATAAGTCTACAGATTTCATAGGTGGAAACGTAGTAGCCCTTCTTATACTATAACCACAACGACTATACTAGAAATTACAACTAATTCTCAAAGATTTTATTAAATGTGGTAAAGGAGCAATTTCATTTAAAATGAAGACTGAAACACTGTACCCTCTATGATGTTAAAACAGAAACAAACTGCCACTAATCTTCTCCCTATCTTCAATATAGAAGTTTTATTGGTACGCCTGAAATGTTAAAAGACACTTAACAAAGCTTTCACAATTAGACAAGGCAATAGTGTCTCTTAGCAATATGCAGACATTTTTAGACATGTCTGCTTCATATTTATATCCCTAGTTCTTAGCAGAGTGGTTGGCATGTGATAAATAGATGTTTTATAAGTAAATGTTATAGCTAAAATATACAAAATGTGCTTTTGATTTCCAAATTCTAAGATGCTTGTCTTAGGTGTGGCACAACCAACAGGGGCTTGGTTGGCTTCTGCAAGTCAAGAAGGAAGCTCGTGATGTCTTTACCTTCTGCATTTACAACCATCGTTCCAATCACCCCTTTGTGACTCTGTATCCTCTTTAGGGTTTCCTCCACCTCTGCCTGGAAGAGATCAGGACAGAAATTAACCAAAAGATTCTTTGTGGTGACCCCCATCCTAAAGAGAATAATATTTGGAAAGATCGCTCCCACCTCTCTCTTTAACTTAAGGTATTACATACTAATCTCAGACTTTTGGAAGAGAGCTTTGAAATTGTCAAGTCCCATATACAGGCCTACATAGGACTCCCGGCAGACAACCTTGACAAATCTCTTGGCTTGAACTCTTCTAGAGTCAGAAAGCTTACTGCCTCACAAGAGCTCACTCCATGTTTATCTATTTACTGGCAAAGCATTCTTTATATTGGACAGAAATCTGCTCCTGACCATCTTTCACTCATTGGTCTTTCCATATTTGTATAAAAAAGTCCCTTTCTACCTTATAGTATTTTAATATTTATAGAGCTATATCATTGCCATCCTCTGTCTAAAAGTATCCCTTAATGAAAAATCTTGTTTTCAGTGCTAAATGTGACGTATTTGGGAGTTCAGATGATTAAATTGAGGCTATTCTGTAAAAACATATTCCAAGATTCCAAGAATCTCTCGGTAACTATGGCCTGGTTCTCAGTGCAAGCTGAATGTTCAACCATGAATGATTACATTGGAACCCCATTATTGGGTTTAAACTCAGGACTCTGAATGAATTTTATGCATAAACTATATTGTAGTGGTTTTCTTGCCTTCTACAAATGCTCAAACCGAGAATGATCTTTTCCAAACCTGCATCTTGTTCATAACTGAGTAATCACTGGATATTCTGAATTTAAACATCATTCTGCAGTCTCTTGATGAGGTTTTGTGATATTTTTTTCCCTCCCAACATTGTACAAGTGAACATTATGTTACTTAGGCAAGACAGTTTTCTTTTGCACCTAATGTGGGTGGGAAAACTTATTTCCTCTTTTGTTACCACTCTACAGGTGTTTTCCGAATTTCAGTCATTTATGGACTAGATTCTCAATTTTTGACATTAGGGATACCATCTATATTACTTACCTAGCACTTCTTTAAAATTATCTTACTGCTAAAAGCTTGAATGAATTTTCAAAGGAAACTATACATCACTACCAAATGGAAATCTGGTCATAAACAGAAATAACCAAGAAAGAAAGGGGGCAAATATTATTATATTCTACCCTAATGAAACCTATGAGCCTGAGGTCTATTCTTTAGTGAAAATTTGAAATTGTGAAAGGATAGCGGCCTAACGACCTAATATTGTCAGAAACTTTCTCCTGGATATGGTCTAAAGGCTGAAAAGAAAATTAAATGAAAAAGGAATAACTTTCTCAGATGTGATTTACTCTGTTGTTTGGTGTTTCTGAGCCATCTCACTTAGCAACAATGTTTGCATCTCACTTTGGGAAACACTGCATTTGAAGCTAACAGCTGTAGAGGGGATCAATAATTTATTACATTTTTTGCATCTCTAAGACAACGTCCACAGCCCCTTAGATCACTGTCCTCATTTTCCTTTTCTCTTTTACTTCTCTCCCCAACCCCTTTCTCTTTGCTTTCTCCAGACTTTCAGATTTTCTTTCTTTTCCCAGTTTTCTACTTTCGTGATTTCTGAGCCCTCCCGCTACAATCTCTTGATCCTCACCCCCCTTTCATTCCTCTCAAAACTCTGCTGTCACCTTGCTCTTCCTTCAAACTTTCCAATTCCCTCCTTCCCCCTCCCCTTCTCTCACTCTCTTCCTATTTATTTTCTCTCCTCCCTTTTCACCTTCTTTCTTTCTTTTTATTTAATTTTCTCCTCTTTCAATATCTCCTTCTCCCCTCTCTCCATTGCCTTGCGCTTCCTGTCCTCTTTCTTCCCTGTCAGGATGATTTTTCTCTCCATCTCGCTCCTTTTCACACTTTCCTCGCAGAGGAGATCTCTCATCCCACACAGGATCTTTCATCCCCTCAGTATTTTCTCTTTCTCGATATCTCCCCTCACCAAGTATCACCTCCAGAAATCCCCCCCCGCCTCAGATATCTATGCTCCAAGATATCTTTCCCGCCTCCATGGTCACCCTCGGGTCTCCCAGTTGCCCTTCCAAGAAGCTTCTGGACACCAGTCCTTCGCAACGGCCCCGGCCCGGCCTGGATGGACCTCGGGATCCGGGCGGCGAAGACCCACTCGGGTCGGCGCCCTTAGAGCGCCGGTTCGCAAACGGAGACCCCAGATTTACCATCGCACTGGCGGCGAAACTCTGGGCTCAGTCCCTCAGTCCGGCGCTCCCTCCGCCTGGGCTGTCAACAACGCTTCCAGCCGTTGCTAGGAGACGGGGGAGGAAGTGACCTCCGGGAAGCGCCGGTGCCCACGCCTGCGTGCGCGAGGGTGGGGCAGCAGCCGGAGGTGGCTTTTCCGCCCGGAACTGGCTGGCTCCTCCCGGCCGCCGTAGGCGGAGTTTGGAGCTCGTGGCCTGGAGCGCTCACCCGCATTTCACCGACGCCCACGGGGCGACGAGGGCGAGGAGCCGCTTGGAGCCTTGGAGCGGGGCATAGGCCGGCTCCGGATCATTCGTTCATCCATTCATTCATTTATTCGTTCGCTCCTTGAGGTATGCATTAATGTCACAGCCACTTCCTCAGTCAAGACCACTGACCACGTGCTAAGGCCAGGCTGCCCTCAGGGCCCTGGGTACATTCTATCGGGAGGCAGACAAAATGCAACAACAGAAACTATGCTTTCCAATGGGATACCTGCTCTGGAGCGTGCACCGGAGGGGCCCTCTGACGCGGGGTTGGGCCGCTTTAGACACTTGGGAAGAGACTAGCTGCCTCCGGACATTCTGGGTACTTCCTTGTGCAGCGCCGGTGACGTTTGTTCCCTTGCCCTGCACGGATAGGTTTTAAAACCATATTTTTGTTCAAGAAGAAATGTATCTCAGCATCGAATAGTACAATCGTAGGTACGTTTGGCAAGCACCATCTTCCATCTGGGTTCTCCTCTAGTTGTAGCACTGCTTTTCACTCCGTTGAGTTGCTGCTTACCAGTATTCTTGTTTAATCTTAGGATCTTTCTTTTGTGGCCATTATTTGTCAGCAGTTCTGAGTCGCTGAAAAATTGCAGGTGGCAGTGGTGGAACTTCTACAAATTGCCATAGAACAGAGCATTGTACTGGATATTTAAGGAACTGATAGGGGAGACAAGTTAAAGATCAATTAGGAGTAGTCAGAAGCCACGTGACTTGACCTTTTGAAAGGCATTGATAATATCTTTGTAGCCCGGGAGGCAGGAACCAACTATTGTGTGAAGTACAGCAGGAAAATGTTTTGACTGGAGTCATAAAATCCTGAGGTTTGAGAAGGCAAACACTGATTATAGATACAAGTTGTAGGTTAGAAATGCATCCCCAAAGGGTCCAGGCTCTGACTATCTGTAACACTGATTCAGTCTGGGGTCTCATTTTCTGAAAGCTGTCTCCAACCAAACAAGGTGTCCTTATTGCTAGGAATGTCATCTAGAATATGAATGGGCCCTTGTCAGAGATGTTCTGAAAGAGTTGTGAGCTTTTTGGTAATTTTGGATGAGAAGGTCTATTTGAACTCGGAGCCTTTCCTTTTATGGCATTAAGTTATAGACAGAAACACCCTGAGAAGCTCTAGTTCTGTTTCATTTTTTCCCCCACAGAGGAGGAGATTCTGGTCACTGTCATCCTCTTTTTTTTTTTCTCCAAGAAACTCATGATTCTCAAAAATCCAGGTCACAATAGCTAACTAGGGTCCTTTTCACTCCACACCTAGAAGTCCAACCAAGATGATTTGGAATGGGCAGCAAGGATTGTGGGGGAGGAGTCCAGTGTGTGTGTGTGTGTACACAGATCTGGTTCTTGACTGATTGCCTATACCAGTGATGGCGAACCTTTTGAGCTCGGCGTGTCAGCATTTTGAAAAACCCTAACTTATCTCTGGTGCCGTGTCACATATAGAAATTTTTTGATATTTGCAACCATAGTAAAACAAAGATTTATATTTTTGATATTTATTTTATATATTTAAATGCCATTTAACAAAAAAAAAATCAACCAAAAGAATGAGTTCGTGTGTCACCTCTGACACATGTGTCATAGATTCGCCATCACTGGCCTGTACGACCTTTTTTTTTGGTTAATCCTCACCTGAGGATATTTTTTTCCATTGATTTTTAGAGAGAGTGGAAGGGAGGGAGGGGGATAGAGAGAGAGAGACACATCGATGTGAGAGAAACTCATCAATTAATTGCCTCTTGCATGTGCCCCAACCAGGCCAGGATTGAACCTGCAACCCAGGTATGTGCCTTTTAATGGGAATCAAACCCAAGACCCTTCGGTGTGCAGGCTGACTCTCTAACCATTTAGCAACACCAGCCAGGGCTATATCTACAATTTTAAGTACTAAAAGTATAGATATTTACAGTGTTGCCTGTATAATGACTGATTTTTGCATTCTCTGGGTGTTCCTGATCAAGGAGACCCCTACTTGATTGTGTAGCCATCTGTTTTGCTTATAAAAATCAGTGGTAGTGCACCATTTCTGTTATGTCAATCAGCTTTAATGAAGGAACCTGACTTCCTATGCATGAAGTGTGAATCCCTTCATTTCTGGAGTCAGGGTGTCAAACTCGTTCGATAGCTGACAGCTGTGATTAGAGCAGAGAAAGACTCCAGCATGAAAGGCCCTGACAGGAGTGCCCAACTGCTGAAAAAGTAATAAGAAGTAGCCACACTGACTTCTAACCAACAGTCAAGTTTGAGTCACTGTGCACAGGAAATCAATGAGGAGAATATGAGCCATTTTCTCCTTATTGATTTTTACTTCTAATTATTCCTGGGAGGTAGCTTCGTTTAATTTTTATGCCTTTTTGGGACTATAATGAATATCCTGAGCTGTGCTATATAAAGTATCCTGGCAGTGTCTGACATATTCCCTACCCCATTCTTAACACATGTGAATTATCCCATTCCCGTCTCCTTTTCCCACCTTTTTTTTGGGCCCATGGTAAGTGTTCAATACCTTTGAATTTAAGTGAAATTACTAATGAGTAATACTTTTGGAAAGTACTCTGAAATAACCCCCAAATTTGTGGTACATACAGAGACAAAGTCCACAATTCTTCACATAATTTTGTCAAAATAAGATTATTTTCTTCTGAGGTCTCTCTCTGATAATTTGCTACTGCTCTCTGCTTAGCCTAAAGAAATTTAGGTAACTTGATAATCTTGAGTTTTCTCTTGGAATTTTCTACACCACCCCATATGCCTTTGGCATTCTTTCCTAGTTGGCAGATACTATAAACTGGGCAATGGAATATATTTTGTGTCCATTCTCTTAGAAGGTAAGGCATTATTTCTCAACTTAAACAGGACATCTCTTAGTGCTCTTCTGGTTTCACTCCAGAAAGTATAGATTCTTTGAAAATGTCCCTTTATAATAGTGAGGCAGAATTAGATGATGTCCGTGATATCAGTAAGTATTTCACATAATTGACCCGATGCCATAGAATTACAGAGTATAGATTTAGGGATTCAGAAGAGCAAACATTTTCTACTTCTTATAATGGCAAAGACACCTTCAAGGGTAATTCTTTCTAGAACTCAAGTATAATGTAAGCATAAGGCATAAGGCATCCTCTCTTTCCTAGATCACAGAATTTGGAATTACATGCAGCTAGGGGTGATGTTTCTAGGTGTGTTTCTTTGAGCAACATAAATTATCAGGGTTTTTGCTTATTTATAAAATAGCAAAGATAATGTCTACTTTAAAGGGTTTATGTGAGGTTTATCCGATATAATATGGGTAGACTGCCTGGTTTGTACCAGGTGCCCAGTATGGATCATTTAACCACATTTCTTTCTTATGTCCTTTCTTTAGTTCATCCTTCCTTCTCCCCTTCCTCCCTCATCATCCTTCTATTTCTCTAGCCTTTTCCTTTCTATTTCTCTCCCGTTTCTTTCCTGTCTCCCTTCTAACTACCTTCTCTTCAACCTCATTTTCCTTCATGCCCTCCCTAGGAAAAATACCCAGAATTCGTATTGTTGATTTTCTCATTGAAGAACGTCTTTCCCTTTCTTCTCTCATTCCTTTGGTCCTGTTATTCACTTAGAATTTTCACCTAATGTAACTCATCTCCCTCTAATCTCTTTTTTTCACAAGTCCAATTTTTAAACTTCTAGCTCCACAAGCAATTCCCATCTCAGTGCCTTGCATTAAATAGATATTCTCAGTATCTGAGCATTGGGGGCAAACCGTAAATATTTCTTCATCTATCAATTTTGTTCAGAGAAGGAAGGGCTGATGGGTGCAGTAAATCCCATGCACTTGATGTACCCCTTCTTTTTTTCTGATAATCTAGTCCGAAGGTCCTTGATGTATTTTTTCAAGCTTTTTGATCTATTTAGTTTTACTGGTATGTATAATACACACAAAATTTAGGTGCAGAAAACAAATGTAGGTCAGTGAGTTACTAACAAAAGTAGGTGTATGAAACAGAATACACAGTTAGTGAGTTACAACAAAGTGAACTCCTATGTAACCCCCAGCCAGTTCAAGAAATAGAACACTGCCCACATTCTAGAAGATTCCACATGGCAGTTGCCAATCATTACTCTCACACTGTGTGGCTTGAAAAGCCAAAAATTTTATCTATCTATCTATCTATCTATTTCTCTTTATTGAATTTGTTGGGGTGATACTGGTTAACAAAATTATACAGGTTTCAGGTGCACAATTCCATAACACGTCATCTATACACTGTATTGTGTGTTCACCACCCCAAGTTAAGTCTCTGTCCATCACCATTTATCCCCACTATTCCCTTTCCACAGCTCCCTCCTCCCCTCCACCAGCAATCACCACACTGTTGTAAAAATATTCATTATCTGGCCCTTTACTGAAAGAATTTGCTGATGCCCATAATAGACTGTTCCTCTTCTCTTTCATCTTCAAAATATGTTTAATGGTTGAAAGAAAGAAATATAACATTGTTCTGGGTTTTTAAAATATGCAAATGTAACATGTAAAGTAACTACAACATAGAGGAGAGAGGGTAAAGAGACCTATATGAGGGTAAGCATTTTACATTCCACTTGAAATTCAAGTACTGATTCTAAATAGACTGTGAAAAATAAGGTATGTAATCCCTAGAGTAACCAATAAGAAACTATACAGATAGAGTAAAACAACAAATAGAAAAATTAAAATGGCATACTAAAAATTGTTCAAATAATATAAAAGGGAAAACAGTGAAATGGAAAGCAAATGGAAAAACCTGAAAACAAGTAATATAAATTAAATCTTGGTACATCATTTATTACATT